CTGGGGGGCAGCAAAGGTCCTCCCTGGGCTTTAATGACCCTGACGTCAGTTCCCAGAGGTGACAGGTGACCTAGGTAGTCTCTGGAGACTGGCCAGGTTACCCGTCAGGGCCACCAGGGGCAACAATACACCAGGAGGCCCGGTGCTGGGAGGAACCGCTCCCCGGCCTCACGTCCTGCCCCACACCTGCCTTCTGCCTACAGGGCGGGAGGCCAACACCATCAACCAACTTCTAACGGACGGAAACCTGAGGAAGCAGAACAACTATGTAGAGGTAGGGGCCAACAGCGTGAGGGACCATCTCCAAAAAGTGGGGGGAGGCATGGACAATTCAGAAGGTCCTAAATGAGCAGCGACTCAGCCTAAGCATCATGAAAGGGACTATGATCCTTGATCACCCCCTGAAGCATAGGGGGTACAAAGCCTTCGAGCCCAGGTATGAACCTAAGCCGAGGAGTAGGGGGAAGCGGGTCTGATTCCAAGTCTGACCCCCAAAGACAGGCTCTGGGCCACTCAAGTAGCCTGGCATCTGACCAGAAAATAGAGGATGCCCCCTCCTGCCAACTCCCTTAGGAAGCTCTGAGTTCTAGAGACTTGGACCAGGGTCCTCTCCATGCTTCCAGGAGTGGCCCATGGGCTGTGTTCTAGGCCACTCAGCACCTCAGGCCTCGGTGTGAATCACTGGCTAGTAGTTCCCAGAAAGAACTTATCTAGATTCCAGCAGGGATCACAAGTCTGGAAAAGGGCAAGGACCTGTCCAAGGTCACATGGCACAAACCACTTCACCCCCTGAGGCCTTGTGACTCCCAGCGTATGCCTGCCCAGGGGCATTCTGGGCAATGGTGCTGACCTTCGCTGAACAGGGAATGCCTCCGGGTACAACAGGGTGGTACTGGCCAGGTATGGGGTCAAACACCATCTTGGCTCCAGTGACTCCTGTCCTGGGGGTGGAGGTCATGAGCTTTATTATCAAGACCCAGGAAACAGGTGGTCAGGGCAAGAACGTGCTGTAAGTGTGGGAGCAGCTGCTCAGGCCCCTTCCTAAGGAAGACAGTAGTGTGCCCATGGAGGACTTCCTCTTGTCTTGGCCTGGTCCAGCCCGGCTCCTCCACTCTGGCCAGGACGGAGGGCCACACGAATGCCTCATGCTACAGTAGAATCAGGCCAGCTGTGGGATCCTGGCCATTTCTCTAAGCCCTCCCCTCCCTGCTTCCCCAACCCCAAAGGGACCTGTGTGCCCTCTATGAGAGGGCATGCCTGCCAGCAGAATGAAGACAGGGGGCCGTTCAGGCCATGACCCTGGGCTTCTCCACTCCCCACCAACTCCCATCTTCTTCCTGCCCCACAGAAGTGCATTAACCTGAACCGTGACATCCTGAAGAAGGAGCTGGGCCTGGTGGAGAAGGACATCATCGACATCCCGCAGCTCTTCTGCTTGGAGCAGCTAACCAACGTCCCCTCCAACGAGCAGACCACGAAATTGTTCGCAAGGCCCTACTTCCCTAACCTGGTGAGGAACGCAGGGGCTGGGCTGGGTGGGAGGGCTGTCCTGCTCACTCTGGCTGCTCTCCTGACCTCCCTGATGCAGGACTAGAGCCTCAGGCACAGCAGACAGCAGTGGCTGCAGAAAGGAGGTGAAGTCCTCCCCTCCCCTCTCAGGGAACACTGCCTCGGGGAGCAGACCAGGGGGTCCCAGGCCAAGCAGTGGCCATGGACGAGCCTCTGGGTTCAGCCTCAACCCTGAGGGAGCGATGCTACATGCCCACCTCACAGATGGAGTCACTGCTTACCCTCTTTTGAGTCCCAGGGACACAGGCCCTGCATTCATTAGTCACACAGGGGTAGCTTTTAATTCTAGAAGACCCAGGAGCCCTTGGTTTTGACGTGGCCCTGGGAGCAGGGGTGGGGAGAAGTGGCGGGGGGATAGTGTGTTTGAGGAAGAGAGGCTGGAATTAAGAAATGAGAAATGGGGGCGGCCTGGGTGGCTCAGTGGGTTAAAGCCTCTGCCTTTGGCTCAGGTCATGATCCCAGGGTTCTGGGATAGAGCCCCGTTATCGGGCTCTCTGCTCAGCGGGGAGCCTGCTTCCTCCTCTCTCTCTGCCTGCTTCTCTGCCTGCTTGTGATCTCTGTCAAATAAATAAAATCTTAAAAAAAAAAAAATGAGAAATGGACACAAGTCAACTGCCAGAGCTGGGTGGAAAGGCGTTCCAGGAGAGGTGCGTGGATTACAGTGTGAAGTTAACTTCCTGCCCAGAGCAAGAGGAACACAGTAGGGGAAGGAACCAGGGAGGTCTGCAGAGCCAGACCGTGGCCTGACGGGATTTCGGTTTTGCTGAAACACGTCAGGGACGCAGGAAGGTTGAGAAAAAGTGAGATGGATTTTGCCGAGGTTGGCTGGCGTCCACTAGGGGCAGAGCTCGAGAAGCTGCCCTGTGTTTGCTGCGTGTGGTCGAGCCTGACCACCGAGGGGCTTTCTTCCACGGCTCTGACCCCACCCCGGCCTGGCCCGGCCCGTCCTCTCTCTGACAGCTGCAGATGATTGTGATGGACAAGCATCTGGGCATCCCCAAGCCTTTTGGGCCCCAGATCAAGGGCATCTGCTGCCTGGAAGAGAAGATCCGCCAGCTGCTAGAGCCCCTGGGCTTCCAGTGCACCTTCATCGATGACTTCGACTGCTACCTGACTGACATCGGGGACTTCTGTGCCTGCGCCAACATACACAGGGTGCCCTTTGCCTTCAAATGGTGGAGCATGGTGCCCGAGCCCCAAGCTTAGCCCCGCCAGCCCTGGCCCAGCGCGAACAGCCCAGTCATCGCATTCTGCAGCACTCCGACGGCCTGCCTGTCCCTCCCCCAAGCCATGCTCCTCCCTCAAGGTATTCTGAGGGGGCGGCAGACGTGACTCAAATGTGCTCGAACCCCCTTGGAAAATGGTCCTCAGCTGAGAAGTGGTTACTAAGTATCCATTAAAGTCCTAGGTGTTCCCAGTGCATTTTGGTCGCAGCTGCCTTGTTTTGAGGACGGGGAGGACAGCTGAGGATGGAAAGTGGAACCCCTGAGACTCCTGGGGTCTGGCTGCCCCACCTGAGCAGGGATGAGGGCAGGGACAAGGCTGGACTCAGATTCCTTCTTTTCTAGTTTAAGCCCCTCTGACATGCTGGGTCTACATGCTTGAGCACGGGGACAGCCTCCAGGCTTGGGGAAGGGAGCGAGAAATCACCCCCTGTAGGCAACCGGCCTCTCTGGTGTCAGAGGGACAAGATACAGTAGGGGCGGGGTGGGGAAGGGGTACCTTTGTTAACCTCAAGTGTCCAGGAGAGAAGAAACGCCCACCCTGGGACCCAAAGCTGCCTCTTTCCACCTGTCTGCCAGCCCCTGAGCGGATGGCACAAAGATGCTATTAAGGTAAGTGCGTCTGAGGGGCCACTCCCGCTCTGCCCCTCCTGCTGGGTGTGTGGTGGGGGGGGCAGGGGCAAAGATTGGGAGGTGGGGAGGGGAGGCCAGTCTGAGGACTGAGAGCAGCCAGCATCTCAGAGGTTGCGCAGTGATGGGTATTTTGGGAGACTGGTGAGTGCAGGTGGCCACCGGCCGCAGGGTAAGAGCTCAGTGGGGGAGCAGCCTGGGAGCAAAGGCTGTCAAGGCGGACACTGCTAAGTGCCTGCGGCTTCTGAGCACCCGACTGGCTCCTTAGTGCCACCTAGTGGGCAGTGCGCTGCACAACCGGCAGGGGGGTGGCCCCGACCTGGAGCGCCTTTGTGACCAGTGCTTAAGTGACAGGAGGGCTCGGGGATCCCCTTGGAAGTGTTGGTGGGGAATGAGGACAGACCTTTCTGGGCACACAAGACCTACCATTGTTCCCGTGCTTTTCCGTGCCTGAACGTTTGCCCTCAGAGCCCCAGTGGGCAAACCCAAACCCCCATTTTTAGTTGGGCCAGTGAAGGGGGACACCTCCCTGAGGGTCACAGGTTTCCAGGGAGAGTTGGGAGCTCCACTCACCTTCAACCCCAGGTTAAAGCCTAGAAACTGAACCGAGCTACCCCGAAAGCCTTTCTCAGGGGGAGCCTCGGCACAGGCAGGGGCCCCTGCGGGGAGCATAGGGAAACCCAGCTGCTCTGCGGTCTTACGCTGGTTCTACTGAAAAAGAAGCACAAAAGCCAAAACAGAGTAAACAATGATGTCATTTATTTAAAATGTTTACTCCAAGAAATATATATATATATAAAAAAAAAATAAGACAAATACAGCACTAAACCAGGCACCTTCGACCAAATCACAACCTCTTCAGGTGTTCTCTCCCCTTAGCCCCGAACCCCCTCTTCCAGAGATGCCCTCCAGAGCTGGAAGGCGGGTCAGAGGCCCAAGGGGGTCAACGCAAGGCCACTCTTTCTTTTGGAGTGCAGGACAACCCCCTAATTCCTTGTCAAGAAGGATTTCCCCCCCTTAGGAAGTTCATCTTAAAATTCTAAGCCAAAAGGAGTGATTGTGGTGGAGAACAGGGCCGTCTTCACCTGGAAGTTCCGAGCCTATGCTGCTCTGGTCCCTGGCAAGGAGCCCTCAAATAGGCTGGTGGCGGGTTCCAGACTGGTCCCCCGGAAGATCGGAGCCCTGCCTGCCCCAGGGCGGCTCCCGCAGAGGGGACCCTGGGGCTGCTGTGCAGGTCCAAGGGGCACATGTGCCGAAGCCCTGTTCCAGGAGAGAGACTCATGTCCAGGGAAAAGGGTGGGTGCCCCGCACAGAAGTGAGAGCCCGAGATGGTGGCTCTAAGGGTGATTTGGACAAATCAGGTTAGTTTAGCAGAAGCTTCTCCCCTGGACTACGGACTGAAACAGGACAGCAAAGATGAGCACGAAGTCAGACTAAACCTTAGGAAGACGCAGGCCCGCTCTCGCGCAAGGGCCTTGGGACTGGCGGGGCAGATCCTGTCCTGTCAAACGCCCTGGAAAGGCAGACGCTGTGAGGCTCCATGGGGGATGGGCAGGGAAGAAAGCAACGACAACTCGATCATTTTTGGCATTTTAACATCGAGACAATGACAAGTGGTAACAATAGCAAAGCAAAGAATAAAAAGACCCATATTCAACTCTCCCATCCCCCCACGTGTCCCACCAAGTCCGAACCCCCTCTCCCCCAGAAGCACCACGGAACTAAAAAAATCTATTTTAAAGCACCCAAACCCGTCCTGACCCTCTCGAAACCAAGAGCCCCAGCCAGAGCTGTCGCCTCTCCTGGGTCCAAGTGAGCGGAGGGGTCCGGGAAAGGCACCTCGTAACTCACGCAGAGCAGCGCACCGTCGGTGACGAGCTCGGGCAGAGGGCGCGTGGCGGGAAGTGGGGTGGCAGTCACAGATCCGCGCTGATACGCGGGGAAGGGGGACTTTTCAGGAATCCCAACTATTTGGTACCACAGCCAAGCAAGGCGACCAGAGAGCTGGGTTAGCAGAACAGGACCCCGCGTCTCAGAGACTGGGCCCGTTCCAGCAGGATCCGGCGGAGGATAGAGACAGAAGCACAGAGGTGATCAAGGCTGGTACGGAAAGGGCTGATCCTTCCTTGCAAGGACTCCAGAATGCACTTTTTTTTTTTTTTTAAACTGCTGGCTGATCAATTTCTAATGGCGAGTGCTGGCCAGACGGCTCCAGCTCGTCCCGAGAAACCTCAGAGCCGCCCGTGAACTAGACATGCTGTCCCTTCGTCTGCCCACCCAAGTCCCACTGGGTCCACAATCACCTGATTTTCATTTGGACGTTTATAGCTAAAGTATATAAAAAATGGCTAAACACAGACCCCAGAGCCCCCACCAGGGGGGAAATGGCAGATTTCTAATAATGTTGCAGCCAAGGAGAGAAACGGCCTCGGCTGGTCTACAGGAAAAAGCGAGAAAGAAAGTGACCCAGATGCTTCCGAAGCAGGCGGGCGTGATTTTTGGATGGAGATCCACCACCAGCACTGTCTCTGTCCAGCCGCTGCTGGCTCCCAGAAGGGACCTTTCTTTCTGCGTCAACGGGTACTCCTCTCCCAGGGAGCACCCGCTCGGATCACATGCTAGTTACGACTGGAAAGGGGTGTTCTGAGAAACGTGTTTAGGAGCAGGAAGAAAAAAACCACTTGGGGGAAAAAAAAACAAACAAAAAAAAACCTAGGTTGCTCAGAGTTTCTGCCTCTTTTGTAGGAATGGTAAGTCAACTATGAGCAAATATTTTAATTAAACATTAGAAGAAAAAAAAAAACACTTTGGAAAGCATACAGAAAAGGTAGTTGACGTTGAAATCACTTATAAAACGGAACCTCAGGGAGTCTAACAAAAATGCACCTTCGGTCAACTCTTGCTTTCTTTCAATTCCTCGTTGGACGTCCGGTCCCAGTGCACGTGGAACTGACAGCTGCCGCGGGAGGTGTGGGGCTGCAGGGCTTCGGGAGAATCAGAGGGTCCGGGGGTTGTACTCGGGCAGTTTTCTGATCTTCTCTTTCTCGGTCTCGCTTTCATCTCGAGCGATCACCAGGGAGTGTGCGTAGCCCATGGCCACCTGCGGGAACAAATCGGGGTCGGATATGCGCGGGCCCGTCGTGGAGAGCAGAGCAGACAACGGGCCACCGCTCAGCTGGCCTGGCAGCCTGGGCCGGGACCACCTCCATGTCCCTGGCTCCACGACACCAGCGTCCACATGAGCTGACCCATTACCAACGCCCCGTTCCAGGCTACCACCAAGAAGGGCTTTGATGCCATCAACACACACCCAGGTCCTGCCCCCTGTTCCCTCTGCCTCCCTGGACCACAATCCCACCCTGTGTGGAGGTCACACGCCCTGCCTGTGGGATGACAGACAAGGGCGGTCAGGGTGGCCTGGTGGACAAAAAAGGAACCCACCCCCTGCCACCACCTGCCCCATGGCCAAATAGTGTGTAGTCTCAGCTGAAGGTACAAAGCAGATGTGAACGGTACCCCTGTCCCCAGAACAAATCCGCCGTGGCTGGACTGTGGCCGGTGTGACTGGGGTGAGAACACCTACTGAGCCTGGCCGGCCTGCCCCTGTGCCACGTCCTATGGACGCCCGTTACACACCAAATCCTCTAGCACGAGGCAGCTGAGAAGCTGCTCAGGGAAACAAGACCAGCCTCGAACAGGCGCACAAGCCCAGGAGCAGCCCAAGAAGGCCTCGTGTGGCCTGGCCTCACTTCGCCCGGCTGCCAGCGCCCTCCACTTCTCGCCGGCCTGGAGGCTCCCACTCACCTGCTCAGTGAAAATGCCGTCCAGCGTCTTCACCTCCTGAGCCGCGGTGGAGGACTTGGGCTTGTGGTCCCCGTAGCCCTGGCAAAGCGAACAGAGATGCAGAACTGGGGTCACTGCCGTACGGTCCAGGAAAGGGAACCATGGCGACGTGTGGCAACCCCGCTGTCCGGGAGCCTGAGCCAATGAGGGCTGGCCTGGTGACAGAGGCCTGCCGTGCCTGACACGACAGCTGGCCTGGCGAGCGACACCGGCCCACACAAGCGCTACCACCAGGGACTGATTCTCAACCCAAGAAGGGCCTGATGCTGAGCTGTCACCTGTGGGGGTCTGTATGGTAACAAGCACCTCCTGGCAGGGGAGTCTGGGGAGACACCATCATCACGAAGAACCCTGGTGGTCCCCACACTCACTGGCAGGCCAGACTCCCAAGAGCCCCCCTCCGGGCCCCACCCCCAGACTCCAGGACACCAGAGCCAGCAGGCTCTGCTGGAAGACTGCTCCCAGAGCTTGGCGCAGACAGGGTGGGGATGGGGGCTTTTCCAGCTGGCAGACCCCAGCCTTCCCAGCTCCATCTGCCACCAGATGCTTCCTCACCCCTTCCCGTGCAGGGAGTGCTTCCTCCCAGACGCCCTGCCATCTCCTCCTTGCCCCTGGGCCGCTGCCCCAAAGTCCCTCTCGCTCCCCTCTGGTTTCTAAATTGGTATTCGGAATCTCTCTCCGACAGGCCCTAGCAACACCTTCCTCTCTCTGAGAAGGAGCCATAAAAACCGGGCCAGGTTCTGTCTCCTGATTTCAAGGCTGCAGCCAGGGCCACCTCGGGGGGCTGGAAGGTCTGCTGCCCAGGGGCCCCCGTGGACCCCCAAAGTCGGCACAGAACACCGAGGACAAGGCCACCAAGTCCCGGAGATGGCTCAAGGGACCAAGACGCCCTCCCTTCCCTCCTCTCCATCACCCCTCAGCTCCCACCCACGAGCGAGGTGGGAAGGGAAACAGACCGCCTTCCCCACAGGAAATAACAAAGAGGCTGAGGATCATCGCAGCTAGAACGGGCAGAGCGCCAGCCGGGCTCCGCAGCCAAGCTGTTCCCGACGAAGAAATTGAAAGTTAAAGACTCATCAGGCACCAGAACTGAAGAATCAGACAGTTGGTTGGGGAAGGCCAAGTATGGGTGAGAAATCGAGGGCCATGGGTGCTCATCAGTCAGGCAATGCAGATGAAAAGCAGGCAACGTAGACTTTCACGCATTTAGGAAGAGCGAGGGCACTGTGTCCCCAAGTGACCCAAGAGGCTGGCCCCGTGGCGCTCCACTCTGGGCAGCAGCAGACGCTACTACTCGGTGCCCACCGCCCCGGCGGACACGACCCCTCCTGGAGGGGAGCCGGGAAAGCGCCCCCTTCCGTGCCCCTGCACACCTCAGCTGTGCTGACAAGACCCCGGGGGACAGGGATCTTCAACCTCCCTGTCCCTGTGAACGCACAGGCACAGACCCCTGAAAGCCAACGAGACCCGAAGATTAGGGAGCGTCTCGTCTTCCGGCAGACACATTCTCCTCCTGCCCGTTTTCAGGAGGCAGCCGCAGAGAGCGTGGACTGCGTCCCACCCTGGCCACACAGGCCCCCCGCTTACCAGCTCCCCAAAGGTGGGCGACGGGCCCCAGCTGATGGTGCTCTCGTCGGCGGCCACGATGATGCTGCTCTTCCTACAAGCAGAGGTGGGGGGGGGGGGTCACCAGCGCAGCCACAACCCCGGATCCTGCCGACACCTCCCGCAGGCTAGGACTTGCAGCACCAAGATCAAGTCCATCCCATTCTGAACCCTGCACGGCACGCACTTGCCACAACACGTGCCCGGCCAACGGGCTTCTCTGAACCCCTCACTGGTGTCCCGTGCAGGCCCTCGAACCCCAGACCTTCCCACCAAGAAAAGAGGTCATCGAGTCAGGACGGAGAGCTCATTACAAAGAGGGTGGAATGCAACAAAAAAAATAACACGTTCAGGGCTGGACGTTTGGGAGATTAAAGCCACAGCTCCCCTCCCCCAACGACACCGTCCCACTCCACCCCCCCCACCCCCACCGCAAGCTGACAGCTGATTAACATTAACAAACTCCTCACCAAGACGTGCTAAAAAAAAACTCAACAGGTGTCCTTAAAATAAACTGAAAAGCACCGGCTTCAGGACAATCTCTCCTTCCCAGAGAATCAGAGTCACTAAAATCCTAAATAATGTGGAGCTTAAATCATTTTAACCTGCTAGATGACCAGAGCCCACCAAGCCTCTGGAGAACGGAAACTGTCAAGATGCCGTCCTTCTGAGAAGGCAGGAAGACAAGCCGCCATCTGTCTCAGGACCTACCAACCCCTCTTGCCCCGAACAGTACCTCCCCTCCTGAATTCTGCTGCATCTGATGCCCTGAAGGAGGGAGCGGGGGTGGGGGGGTGGGGTGGAACAGAAGAGCCTCTCAAGGGAAGAGGCACCCTCCCTGGGGTGTCCACCTGGCCCAGGAAGGGGACACATGTCTCGCTCCCCAGCAGCCTTGGCCACATACCCACAAGCCAGGCTCCGGATTCGCCAGCCACAGAGGTCCTGCACGGCCTTTGGGTACATGGTGGATTCGCGGGACGTGTTGGTGGCCCCCCAGAAGAACAGCCCACCTGGGGAAAAGACAGACACATTCCCACTGTGACCACACGTGCCAAGATCCGAATTCTCCTCAACAAGAAAGGCAAGATGCCGCACGCTGGGGACAGCAGAGGAACATTCTGTCCGACAGAACGCCGGGGTTTCGGTCTGGGAACGTGGAAGGACTCCATGGCTCCCCACCCACGGAGTACTCGTCTGCCGGGGAGGCTCACCACCCCACCCCACTCCCGCCTGAGGCTCCGATGGGGAAGTCACTAACCCACTTCACTGACAGCGAAGGAGCAGGTGTAGCCAGCGTAGATCTGGGACGCCCCACGCCCGGGGAAGTCGAACAGCTTCACCAGGCGAGGGACCATCTCGTCCTTCTGCTCGGCGTGGCCCAGGCGGCCGTAGCCACCAAAGCCCCAGGAGAAGACGCGCTTCTGAGAGTCCAGGACCAGCTGCGGGCAGAGAGAACACACAGTGTGGGACGGGACCCCACAGGAGGGGACAAGAGGCGCCATCACGCTGCTGCAGAGGACAGCAGAGCACAATGTAAAAGGCAGAAATGCTGCAGCTAAGCTGAGCCTCCCCCAAGGCAGGGGACGCAAGGGCACTTCCTCTTTCCCTCCGCCGCGGGCCCTACTTTCTGTCCTCGAGTACTCCCTGAAGTCACAAGTCCCCCTGGTTCCCCATCAGAAGCAAGAGCCTGAGGCCCCAGCGGGCAGGTCAGTGCCCTGTTCCCCCCATCACAGCGCAGACAGCGCCGCAGGAGGAACGGACAGAAGGCCTGCTAGGGCCTTCTCCACAGACACCCCCCATCCCACCCATGCACAGGGGACCTCCGTCTGGTCACAAGGACCAAAAACAATTTCAAACTGATCTTCAGGGCACCCGTGTGGCTCAGATAAGCATCAGACTCTTGGTCTCAGCTCAGGTCTGGATCTCAGGATTCTAAGTTCAAGCCCCACGCTGGGTGTGGAGCCCTGTTTAAATAGAACAAAACAAAACAAAAAAAACTTGTCCATCACAGCCTCTTCACTGTCCAGCATTTGAACGGTGTGAACGTATAACCTAGTACAACCACGTGATGTGAGAAGGCCCGTACGAGATCGACCTTTGCTTCCCCAGACCGCACTGGACAGAAGAGAACCACAGATTTCAGACTCCAGAGGACCAACATCTCCTAGCCCACACCACTGAGCACTAGACAGGGAGGATTCCAGGGATGAAGCCACGCCTGAGGTTTACACGCCAGTCAGCTGCACACCAGCAGACCAGCGTAGTCTCTGGACTCCCAGCCCAGTGCTCTTTCAAGAGAAGAAGGCCAACTTGGACTCACAGGTGCACTCGGGCAGAATAACTGCAAAAAGGCAACAAAGATAAACAGACACAAATACGGGGGCGCCCAGCTGGGTCAGTCTGTGGAGCATGTGACTCTTGATCTCGGGGTGGCGAGTTCAAGCCCCAGGTTGGCTGTGGAGACAACTTCAAAATAAAATCTTATAAAAACAAAATCAGGGGCGCCTGGGTGGCTCAGTCATGGAGCGTCTGCCTTCGGCTCGGGTCATGATCCCAGGGTTCTAGGATTGAGCCCCGCACCGGGTTCCCTACTCAGCGGGAAGCCTGCTTCTCCCTCATCTACTCCCCCTGCCTGTGTTCGCTCTCTCACTGTCTCTGTCAAATAAATAAAATCTTTTATAAAAACAGAACAAAACAAAACTAGACAGTACGCACACAGAAAACAGTACGGCCATCTATCCAAAGTGATCTTTAAGGGAACAGCCCTCACAGCTAAAAACCATTCAACACCCTCGACTACAGACCTAGAAAGAGGTCCTGTGGTGCTCTGGTAGACAAGCCATCCCAGAGAGACACTTGCAGTAGGATTCTGACCCCAAACGTCTGTCCTTCAGCTGCATCTCCAGAAACTGTTAGAAAAATTATGAACAGAAAAGTACTACACCCTGTGGCTAAGCGAGCGGCACAAAGCCGTGGGAGGACAGGCCGTCGAGGGCCTCTGGGACCAGTTCCCGGCTAGAGCGGAGTGTTGGGACACTGGAACATACACACATCCTTCTCCGCAGAGGTGACAGTCGGAAGCAGAGGAAAAACCAGAAACCCTCAAGCTTTACCGTGTGGTTAGCGCCGCAGGCCACATCCCGTACAACCACATTGGGGACTGGCAAAATCTGCCCATCTTTTGTCTTCTCGATGAAGATGGCCACTCGCCGGGGTACCAGCTCGCAGTCATACTCTATCCGCTGCGCCCTGGCGATGAACTTTCCGTCCGAGTTGTGTCCTGGGGCGACAGAGCCAGAAGTCAGCAGCGGCCGAGAGCACAGGCCCCAGCCTGGCCCATCAGGGCGTCACGGGACATTTCTGTCAACCACATGATGCCTTCCACCGGGGGCACAACCCAATCAGTACCATGAAATCGACCGTGGGCGCTGAAGCAAATTATGTTTAAGAAATGAACGGGACAGAACAGCAAACACCCAAGGAAACTCTCCCCCGAAAGGATGCTGCTTTGTAAGACATCATCAAGCGCGCCTGTAGAGCCTGCACCAGTCTGTAACCAACCACGTGTCTACCCGCTAGCCGTGATCACAGAAGCCGGAGACCACAGATTCAAAGGAACGGCCTACCAAGTGTGGTCTCACCCGGCCCCTGCTTGTTCCAAGAACGAACAGAAAAAGTTCAACACACAATCCCTAGACTTGAGTTTTTAGGACTTCCTGATAACCTCAATATACCATTACGGCGGTTAAGATACAGTTAATGGCACACGCCCATCTCTGCCTTGCCTGACCCAGTAAAATGCGTCATGGCGGGGGGGGGGGGGCACGGACACAGGCACGTGTGCTGGGGACACACTTCTCCAAGGTTACATTTGTATGTTCTAATTCTAAAAGGAAAGGAACCTCTCTGGATTTGGACAATGAGATTCGAAGTGGGTTTCGAAGAAAGCTGACAAGTAGGGCTGATTCCACAGACACACGTAAAGCCCGTATCTCAAACTATCGTTAAGAAAGCACAGACCGGGCACCCCAAAGTCTGGATTCAGCACTTGGGAGTGCGTGGCACACGGTCCCTGCTCCAGGACCAGCCACGGTCATCACTGCCAAGGTCACAGAGTTTTCCCCTTAGGAAAATCCACCTGCCGGTCTGCAAATCCAGGGCAGCCAGAGGCCACAGGGGAGCCACACACACTTCCAGAAAGAGACCGGAAACACACTTCCGGTGTTCTGCCCGGGCTTGGGGATGGCACCAGGGCCTGTGGTCATGGAAACGGTTTCTCCAACAGTCTCTGGCAGCTCCCTGGCAACCAACACTGCATGTGCGTAAGGGGCTGTTCGTTCTTATTCACTTCTGACTCGAGGTATATTTAGTTTCACAAAGTCACTGTTCCCTGAAGTCTAAGGCCAGCACGCTGCTCCTTGTTCTATTTATACCGTCTTCCATCTGCCTGCTCTTAATGACGTGGGGACCCGGCAACCCAGATACGGGGGCCGTGGGGATCCGGAGTGGCATGCAGCTGAGGCGCCAGCAGAGGGCGCCCACTCCTCACCTCCTACTCGCCAGGGGCTGGGCTGTGAGAAGACGCAGGGCGGGGACGACGACACGGGACAACAAAAAAAAACACACTTTGGTGTCAGATGGGAAAGAAAATGGAGACCTTGTAAAATCAGGATCGAGAGACGTTTTCCACTTACTAGGAACTGCTTTCTGAGCTTTCCCTTTCTACTCAATGAGACAGACATGAATGTTTTTCTGAAGGCGTACACTCTGTTCAGGGACGGAAACGGGGAAGGGGACTCAGGTGGGTGGGGGGTAGTCACCCAGCCCCGGGTCCGCAGGACGACCTTCACCGTGTAACATTCTCGCTTCCAAAAAAGGCGAACTCTTAAATGTGAAACCGAATGACGGTGGTTTGATTTTTCGTTCTTAAAAACTCTGAGGTCCTTTTACATATAAATGAATTCCCCCTCCCAGAAAAAAGAATCCTTTGTCAGAATCCAGGCCCGACTTGATCATTAGGCCAACCCGTTGTAGATGCGCCACCACCCTGTGACTTAGGACGGGCTGTCCCAGTAAACGGGAGACCCACTTAACGGATCAAGGCTATTATCTGCGATCAATTACCCACATTTCCAACATGTGTGTGCAGGCCCACACTGACTTCTGGTTCCAGATAGGCAGTTAGATTACAGAGCTTTTAAAAAACGTTTCCATACCCAGCTGACCATATTCAGGGCACCCAAAGGAATAGAGGTTCCCTTTGCAGTCCATTATCATACTGAATTCTGCCCCACAGGCCATTTTGGTAATTGGTTGACCGTTGTACATGATCTGAAAAGACAAGACAGCAGACTCTCAGACTTTGTTTTAAAAGGCAGAAAAAAAGCCTCCCCCTCTCTGCAGGTCGGTGTGAAACAATTAGACTGCCAAGGAAACTGAAGGGACCCAGGAATTCTGAAGGCTAAAACCCAGAGTGTCCATGAAGAAACACTCCTGGGACGCCCACCTTCCCGGCAGAGTCGAATCCCAAGGTAGGGCACATGGTGGGCCCAGCCCTGCGTTCCCAAAAATGCCCGACACTGCGCCCAGGTAGCATGGACCTCGGCCGAGCAGCCCAAAGTTGGGGGGGCGGGGGCCAGAGACTAGCCCACACATAACCCCCAAAGCTTACCCAGTCACTAGCAAACAGTTCAGCCTCAACCTGGGAGAGGGCAGCTTTCTCCCATGCTCCTTGCCCTCTAGAAACACTAGCCCAACTAGCCCTCACAGAAGGTGTGGACAAGAGATAAAACCGTTCAAAGCTAGGAAGTAAGCCAGCCAAGCCCCCCCCCCCCCAGGAACTCGGCATGGGCTCTGGAGACACGTGTCAGACAGGATGTGGAAGCCGTGCTCTTATCACACCCAACAAGCCCTGAGCCCTGGGCCCAGCCCGTCATTCCCACCTTCCTCTAGAAACCGTCACTTCCTCCTTAGTGCAAATGACAGATACAACGGGGATATTTCCAAAATCCTTCAAAGCACAGGTAGCCTTGCCCACAGTCTCTTTCTCAGACCAGGCAATGGGACCCCCCGCCGTCACCCTCCAGCCACTCGTCACTCACTAGCACGTGTGGTCTTGCCTGACATGAGCAGTCACTATCAGGTGGGATCCCCACCTCTCTGACGGGAGCACATGTTCCTCGGGAATAAAAGACCGCCCAACTCCTGGCTGGGTGCTGTAAGCCCTGGCAGGTAGCCCCACACAAGGTCAGAACTCAGAGAGTATTTACAGAGAAAGACGAATCGCATGCATCCAACAATTCTCACTTTCTTTGGAACAGAACAGGCTTAAAACAAGACTTCTGGAGCTAATTCGTTCAAGGAGAGAGAGCAGTTTTTAGGAGGCTTTCTGACCACGGGCACCTAGAAGGTGCGCTTTAAAGACTACAACATGTGAATTCCACTCCAAGAATCTAGACCGTCTCCGCAAGGCATCGACTGAACTAGAGGGCTGGGTGCTTGTCCTCAGCTTGGACAGTCAAGCACAAAAGCAAAGAGAAACAGAGGCCGGGCGCCAGGAAAGGGAGCAGCACCTGTGCGGGGCTCGGGACAGCGTCTGTCTGGTTGCCGAGGCCGAGCTGCCCCATCTTGTTCTCTCCAAACGCAAGCACGGAGCCCGTCTCTGGAAGGAAAGAACAGTATCACAAAAGGGAAAAGAACATTGAGGATTCTAAACCTGATTTGGGATCAAAGGCTCCCGAACCATCACAAATAGCTCCTTTGGCAGAAAGAGTGCGAGCGAGACCAGGCGGCGGACGTGGGGCAGGCAGCTCGGAGCAAAAGGCCCTCAAAGCCCTGGCCTCTGGGTCCACTGTCTGATGCCAACAGGTGGGAGAGGCCATTAGCGGCTCTGAGAAGCACCCTCCGGGGCTCTCCAGGCGCCGTTCCCATCCTGACCGACAGCTAGAGACGACTCCACCCCCGTGCCCAGGGTGGACTGCGTGGCCGCCTGCCCGGATGCGGAAGAAACCAGCCGTTCCTCACCCGTCAACGCCAAGGTGTGGTTCCGTCCACATGCTGCAGACACGATCACTTCATGGCTCAGACCCTCAATGAGTTTGGGGGCTTCTACCCTCTTGGTGTCACCATGTCCCAGCTGCCCCTTCTCGTTGCGACCTGCAGATCAAGAGCAAGATACAGTAGGAAGGAGAGAGGGCGGCCGGGCGGGAGAGCAGTGTCCTGGGGAAGGCAGACACCCCTGGGTCCCCCTGAAGGCGCCCTCCACAAGCAACAGCTGAGGAGGCAGTGGAGAGCACCCCACTCCCTGTCCACAGCCAACCTCCCGAGCACCTCGAGAGGCGCCGGGTGAACAGGGCAAAGCACACAGTACCGTCCCCAGAGATGGTTCCGCAGGCCGCCGCCGCCTCCTTCACCTGCTCTGACCTGCTTTTCTGGGACAGCAGCTGGAACCCAGCCGGGAGCACTTCCCGTGGCTCTACCCCCAAGGGAGAGAAGGTTGGCCCTGGGGGTCCAGCACGAGCCGGGGAGCACGTGGAAACTCCCAGCTCTCACTCCGCCTGCCAGACAGTAATTCCCTCGCTCCCTTCCCGAGATGCACTTTAAGAGAGGAACCATTTTCAACACCTGCCCCACACAGTTTAGTCACTTCAGTGCCCTGGGTGTCTTCCATGGACCACGTGGTTCATTTCTACTTGTCATTTCTTTCCTTTTACCTGCCCTGGAAACAACGCCCACAGAGCAGAGCCAAGCCCACCTCCATAGGACCCGCACAGGCCGTGAGCCTCGAGACACAGACCTTCTGGCAAGGCCCTTGGGCCCCACAGCAGACAGGGCAAGCAGGGTGCATGGGGAGGAGCCCCTTCGCCCCCCGGTTTTCAACCCTGGCTACTACAGTCCTCAAACCGAAGAGCTCAAAGGGCCCCACACAGGTCCCCCCAGCCAAGAGAACCACCACACAGCAGGAAGCAAACCTACCCGGGAGCTTTCACAGGGCCAAAAAGTCGGGGCACCTGGGGGCAGGGGGAGGAAGCAGTTCCCACCCCTCCCTGACAATGGCCTTCTAACCTTCCACCATGAGAAACACGGAGGGCAGGGCCACAAGAACAAGGACCAAACATCCTGATGGCTGGAGAGGCAGACATCAGCTTCTACCGGGAGCTGTCCAAATTCACCGGGAAAGGCATGGTTTCTTGGGCCCTCAAGAGGCCTGAGTGGCTGACAGGTGTGGACCCCTCGAGAGTGACATGCTGTAGCACTGAAGCTTCCAAACACCAGCCCGGGCTGTTTTAAGCAGCTAACCATGGCACTAGGACGTGTCCTCTCACTGCCCCACCCCCAAATCTACTCATGGGGCACAGGTCTTTGCTTGGGCGCTAGGCCAAGTGCACGACCCCTGCACCACTCCTTGCCCACAGGGCCAGCACAAGGCCCATTTTTAGAAGCACCGTTTAAGTGCAATTCAGTAAAGAGATCAGAAAGAAGGTATTTCAAGTTCGGAGCTCTGACAGACTGCTGTGTTCAGCGCTGGAACACTAGGCAGGAGGGGTGTGCTTTGGGGGAAGGACACTCCTCCGTACCAGTCGGGGAGAATGAAAACCGTGGCAATGTCAGCATGTCATCAAGAAACTATAAAGTTTAAATTTGGGCCAGACACACTAGTTTTTTTTTTTTTTTCCCCAACAGCATTACAAAATTAGCAGAGTGCAGTGAAGACAACAGATGTTAATATATTTGGACTTTGGTACAGCAGCTCATGAAATTGCAAAAAACGGCTCAAACAGACTGAAATAAAAAAGCAGTCATATGGGCTAAAAACTAGCCAAAGGACCAGAAACAAAGGGCGGGGACAACTGCCAACCTAGCCAGCTGCGGGAAGAGGCGGGGGCTATTGAGGGCATGGGGCTAAGCTGAGCCTCACTCAGGACCTGCATCAACGATGTGGGAGGAAAAAAAACGGGCAGCAGTGCATGGGGGCCCATGGAGGGGATGCTGGAGCAGGAGGTGACCAAGGCCAAGGAGACCCCCTCCCAGGGACCCAGGCCAGGGGGTCCAACAGCTGGAGACCAACTCCACTCAGAAAAAAGTAAACTCAATTGACGAGAAATGTAAAAAGAAACAGGAACCAAACAACCAAACCTGCAGACGGGCGAGATCCCCAGAATCAGAGTGACAGGATCGCAGTGACACGGCAGCTGATGACATGACGTGGCCGGTGGCATTTAAAGTGGCAAGAACAGAGGTCTTACGTCAACACTGTGCCACGAAGCAAGAAGGGGGGCCTGTCTGCCCTGGGGACAGCGTGTCTAAAATAGGAATTCAATTCTAGGTGCCTCGGGATCACAAAGATCCAGATTCCGTCAGAACATTCAGGAAAAAGGAGGATCAAAAGAGAGAGAGGACTCGAGGCGCCTGGGTGGCTCTGTTAGTTAAACGTCTGCCTTCAGCACGGGTCATGATCCCGGGATCCTGGGATCGAGCCCCGCTTTGGGGAGTGAGGTGGGGGGGGGTCCCTGCTCAATGGGAAGCCCGGTTCTCCCTCTCCCTCCACCCCTCCCCCACTTGTGCCCTAATAAATAAAATCTTTCCCCCCAAAAAAAGGACCCAAAAAGTTCAGTAGCTATGTACAAGCAAATGGCAGAAGGGTGCAGGAAGGGGACGCACTTTCAGGGAACAGGCGAGACCAGCTGGAAATTAGGGAGAAGAGATACCACTGCAAAAAAGCTGCCCTTCCAGGCAGACAGAGAAGTCAGCCCCATGAGGGAGCCCACCCGACCCCAGACTTACCCCAGCTCCACAGCTTTCCTTCCGTGGTGATGAGGAGGCTGTGGGCAGCGCACGAACCCGAGACCACGGTCCGCACCCGGACCCCCGACAGGCAGCCATATCTATGGGGCCCCCACAAATTCTGACCGAGATTGCGGTAGGCAGCTGCAAAGGGAAGAATGCAAATCAAACACCCACAGTGACCAGGGGGCGGAAAGCACCCCAAGAAAGGGTACCAGGCACAAAGCATCCACTCTCCGACCACACAGGACCCCCGGGTGCTACAACAGCCTGGCCCGGGGCTGCCCGAGGAGAAAGTCTGCAACTGCAGCAGAATGACTGCCTCCACCACCCCCCCGCCCTGGCCATCTCTGTCCCCAGCCAGCGGGGACTGCAGACCCTCGGGCACCAGCTGCTGAGCACACCCACGTGCAAGCAGTGGAAAAGGCGGGCCCCTCCCTCCTGCTAGGAGCCCAACCCAGGAAAGTTGGCGGTGGGCTCAGTATCTCCTTCCCCACACCCCTTCTCACCTTCCCCTGCCTGCCCTTCCCCCACCTTGGCCTTGCCCTTACAGCCAGAAGCTCCTTTCCAAGTGGAGTCGGAGGGTCCCCATCCTCCCCAGAACCACCTGCCCTGCCTGGCACATCTACCAGGTCCCGTGCGGGGGGCCTAGCTGACACCCCTCCCCTACCACACAGTTTCCTCCTTTCCCAGGGGTCCCACTGTAGTGGCCAAGTCATGGCCCCATACTTCATCATGCACTCCCTCCTACAGAATGCCCCTCCTTGTCCCCTGCTTGTTCTTTGAACCTCATGACAAGCACCCCCTCCTCTGGGAAGCCCTCCACACCCCCATCCCCCTCTTCCAGCTCATGGCTCCCTGCTCACCATGAGGCCGATCCCAGCACTCAAGCCTACTGAACTCATGAGCCTTCCAGGCCCTACCAAGCCCAGGGCCTCACTAATGCCTGGCCCCCAAGGAAGGACTCAAAACTACGGAGGGTGTATGGGCAGGAAAAACACAGCCGCCTCCTTCAAAACTTGCCCTCCTCCCCATTCACGGACAGGGCATGGCCAGTGTTTTGTGTAGTATTTTCAACTTGGGGCTCTTGAGGACAGACACGAGCCACATGTGTAGGCCTGTGGTGACCGTTATGAAATGCTAGTGGCTGCCACAACAACCGTGTCACGTTAATCTGGATGTCGGAGCTGATGAAGAGGATGCTTAATCGGACTCCAGGGGAAAAGTGTCCGTGAGACTCTTTGAGGCCAGTCCTGCCCTTCCCACGCCCCACCAGCAGAGGGCGCGAGGCACGTCCTCCTTCAGTTACAGGGGGCCCCCAGGCCAGGGAACACTGCGTCCAGTCGGCACCCCAGACACACAGCAATGGCCCCCCCACCTGAGCTCTCCCCAAAGGTGGAAGACGATCCGACAATTTCCTGGGAAAGAGCACACCAAACATGACAGCCTTCACAGGATCTGCTGTAGTCTGTTTATCACGAAGGTGAAAAAGGACGGTGGCAGGACTGACATGTGTCATCTCTGGGAACAATGCACTGCACACAAGGACACTGTGGAAGGAACAGGTATACCACGGCGGACCCAGCTTGGAGTGGACCCGTCTCACAGGTGGCTGGATGCCCTGCTTTGCGAAGCCTCTTCCCTACGGCAGCTCCAGGAAGATCAATGCCCAAGATGCTGAGGCCGGAGGGGTAGGATTTGTCCCCACTCCAAGGACCCCCGTTCAAGTGATCCAAGTCAAATCCAGTGCCCAGCAGCAGTGGCAGCTCCTCAGGCAGCCTGGTGGTCTGGGGACGGAGCACAAGTCACCGTGTCACACTGTCAACGACGTGGCCATCATGCCAATACGAGAGGCTTCGCCACAGGGTCACTGGGGGGCTGGTCGACTCCCTGGCCAGGGTATGAGGAGACTGGAAAGGGCCAGCGCGGGAGGACTCTCCTCTTCCTCTTTGGCTTGCACCAGTGGGACAATAAATACCCCCCCTTCCCTAGAGTCTCCCGGCAAGGTCAGGGAAGACCCAAAGATACTTTAAAATACTTAGGAAGAATGTTTGTTAATTACATAAAACTTCACTTGAAGGGAGACCAACCAGGGAAGCAAAGGTCGGAATGGGAGAAGACAAAAAGGCACTCCTGAATGCACCCAAAACGCCTATAACTAGGGCATGAGAGTGGATTTTAAACCAGAAGGCAGTTTCCCTCCTTCTGGACCTCCCTAAGGTGTGGGGAGCCCGGCCTGGCCTCAGTGCACACCACCCTCTGTCCACAGGAGATGGCCCATACTCTGCCGCTTGCCTTCCTCTGGCATTTACTTCCCCGCTCGGGGCCCAAGTGTGTAACTGTGAGCGGGCCACTCACTAGAAAAGCAGCTCGGAGACCCAATGCAGCGCCCACGCGGGGCTAGCAGGAAGACGGCAGCTGTCACACCCCCGGAGGGGCTTCCCGGACACCAGCCCCAGCACAGACCTGGTCCGTCTCCAGACAGACCCCTGGCGCTTCTGGAAGTCCTGCTGCCTTCATGGAATACGATGATGTTCTCTGCCCGGCTTGAGGCACCAGGGAGTGTCCATGTGCAAATATTTGTTCGCTGGGCAATGTCGGAAAGTACTTTGGGAATCTTTCCAAATGAAATCAAGAAGCCATAAAACATGGCAACAGGCCAGCTTCACTTCTCTTGGTTGGCCCATATCCTCCTGAAGAGAGATACTGGTTTTCTAAAAGCAACTGGGCACCAAAAGCTACTTCTTGGGGCTTCTCTGCTCTCTCCACTCCACACACTGCCACCTGCTCGGACTGAGCAGTTCCTGCAACAAACTGGCAGTGTGCGAAGGACCGTGGACTCTTCCGTAACGTCTAACAAGCTGGACGTGTGACATGTGACAAACGTCTTGGACATTCTGACATCCCACGGGATCAGCCTCTTCGTGATCATGAAAGTAACTGATGTGAGGAAGATGGGAAGAAGGCGTCCATGTTCTTTTTGATGGTTTATACTTTTCCCGTTTAATCCTAAATGGAACTGGGTTTTTAAAACAGCACCCAGGGGCGCCTGGGTGGCTCAGTCGGTTCAGTGTCAGACCCTTGGTTTCCGCTCACGTCATGATCTCACAGTCATGGGATTGAAACCCGTGTCCAGCTCTGTGCTCAGCATGGAGTCTGTTTCGGAGTCTCCCCCTCTCCCTCCTGCATGCGCGCTCTCTCTCTCTCAAATACATAAATAAAATCTTAAAACAACAACACAGAACAGTGAAATGAGACACTGGCACAAGACCTGGGTTCAAGTCCTGCTCTCTCCCTGGAGGGGCTGTGTGGCCTTAGGCAAGTTGCTTGGCCTCTCTGAACACTCTGCCGATGCAGAGCGCACCTACCTGGCGAGGACTCACAGGAACCACATGGGACACCTAGCACACAGGGAAGCACTCGACAAACAGCTTCGCACAGTTTTGGAAACCAGGTCTCATACCTTGCTGTTTAGGCACTTCTTTTCGACCAATCAAGTCCCAGTTGGTTGCCCCAAAAATCAAAAGCTGGCCTTTGCACTTAGACCCTTCAAGTTTCTACAGAGAGAAAACAGGGAGAAGAAAAAAAAAAAAAAAAAAAGATTAGCTTGCAATGCTGCTTCCAGCTGGGCAGTCTGTTGCGCCACAGCCAGAAACAAAAGAAAAATCGTCATTCATTACTCACCCCCCCTGCTGTGGGGGGGGGGGGATTGGAGGCCCGAGGCGGTCACCACCTCATCAGGGTGTGGAATCCCAAACCTGCCCGCAGCAGCTCATTTTTGAGGCCCAGGCTGATCTCTACCTGTTGATTTCTCTTGGAAGTACCTTTTGCAAAACACTAAAAAAAATCAGCCACATGTATGTTTCCCTCCACCCTGTGAACTGTCTATAGCGGTATTTCCAAGAGGCCTGGCGGGGCGCACAGGGGGTCTTAAAGCAGCTGACCTTGGGGTCAGCAGGGCGCCGCACATGAACTACAAGCCTCAGGAGCCCTGCATCACCTGACTTGAGACCGTCCTTCCTCCGCGTGGGGCCTACTGTGCCTGGCACCTTTCTGGTTGGGGGGGGGGGCGGGGAAGGAACGACAACACATCATCAAAGCACCATGTGACAGGGGAGATCCCAGCCGGGCCTCCTCAGGCCGTCCTGGCTGTGGCCTGGGAGCTGGGGGAGCAGAGCTGAGTGGGGACAGGGAGGCTCCAGGGAGAGGCCATGTTCACAGCCCCAGGACCCTGGAGTCCAGCCCCTCAGACTCCCCACACAGAGCAGTGCTAGGACCACACACTGCAGGCCAGTCAAGGGAGGGCACGCCACTGTCCCATTTGGGGTGGCCCTCATGAGGACTTTCTCAGCAGTGCGCTGCATTTCTGAAAAGTCCAAACACACTTTTTAAAGCCAACCAGCGGGCAGAGATTCGCTTCTGAGCCACGCACCCACCTCCTCTCTGCTGTGAGCCTTGACCTCGCCCCCCAGGACACCGAAAAGAATGGTTTCCTTCTGCTTGCAGAACTGCTCTCAATGAAAAGCAAGCCACCAGGCCCCCGCCTTTCTACGTCTAGGCAGTGCCTGCCCCAGCGGGATGCTCAGCGACACAGTGCGTGCTTTCTGAAGAGGAACACATCTCCGGGGGCGGGGGGACACGGCATGACCCACACCCAATGTCACCAGCACCCCACGAACAGGTCCCGCCACGCGCGTCCATGTTTACGTGGCTGGAGGAGGACAGTCCCTGTACAGGGCACGTCCAGCAGACAGCCCGTGAAGGGGAAGCCGACAGCCGGGAATGGAGAAGGACCTCACCACGCATAAATTATTTAGAGAAAGACCTTAATCGGAGGGCAGTTCCCACCCCACGGCACCCACCGACTCGGATTACTTGAATGGGAGCCTAGTTTCCCTCTGTTATCTCCCCTTCTTTGTTTAGCTGGCGGGCCTGGCTGGAACATTCTACAGATCTACCACAGAGGACAAACAGCAGCCAGTGGGTTCTGTCAAGTTCCCCAAGGAAGCAGCAGCCCTGGGTCTCTGCCCAGGCCCCTAGCCGGCCCTCCCATCTGGCCCTCCATGGCTCCTCAGGTCTGCACGGAGAGGGCAGGAGACGACCCCTGGGGGCATGATGTGACCTTGAAACCAGGACATGGAGGGGCACCTGCCAGAGCAGCAGCTCGCAGGCCTGCAGGTCCCTTGGACTTCGAGAGCTTCTGCAATGGCCCCAGGCAGGAGCGGGTGTCCCCTGTGACCCGAGGCAGCAAGGGCCTGTGGGTACTGGCTCCCAAGCCAGCTGCGCACTTCTCCAAGACTCCTCGACCCTCCTGATACAAGGCTTGTGGCGAGCCTTCGAGCATGGAGTCCATCCGGGCACGGCGGTCAGATTCCTCCAAAGAGAGATTGTTCTCTTTCTCAGGTTTTCATGTCCTGGGCCTTATGTCCTCACCCATCGGATGAAACTAATGGGCTAGACTTCATGCCATGATCTGCACAGCTGTTTGCCATCGGTCGCCTACTTTATTTCTCCCTAATGAGATTCTTACCTTTACCTTCTAGGAAAAAAAAAATTCAAGTAAGGAACAGAACTCCCAACACCCTTAAATCACAGCCCGTGCTCCTCTTGGTCACAGACCTGAGCTGGCCCGCCACGTGCAAAGACCCCGATGTCTGCTGGCTCCACTCAGAGGAACCCCCAAGGATGGCTGTCAGGGCTGAGGGCTGGAAGCTCTGCGGTGGTGAAGCAGGGCCTACAGTCTCCCCAAGAGGAGGAGGGATTTCATTCCACCTGACACCCCGGGGCACAAAAGCTGGTCGGAGATGAATGGCCGCGGCAGAAAAATGCACAGCGCTTCTTCAATCAACAAAACAGGCTTTCTGGTTCAAAGTGATTTCTGAATTATTGCCCAAGTGCAAAGAGCACGTTAATGAGGCTGAGAGCCCACCTTTTAACGTATACCCTTTTAAAAAAACGCTACTCTCACCAGCAGAAGGCCGCTCAGAGAAATGCCAGCGACAAATCCCCTAACAGGCTATCATCAGCTAGAACAGACTTCAAGCTCGCTTTCTGGTCCTATGTGTTTGGCCCTTGCAGATGGGACAGACTTGTCTGGAGCCCACATGACCTCGGCACACCAACACTGAAGAAACCACGAAGACCCGCACAGGTGGCGACACTCCCGTTTTCCAGAACTCTGTCAAGGCAGCCTGTGTCACCTCCAGGGTGGCAGAGCTCACACGTCACCCACCCCAGACCACTGCAAAATGCTCATCTGACAACACTACGCAGAAGTCCAGGAGAGAGCATTTCCCGAAACTAAAATCTAAGAATGTTCTACAAAAATACACATTTACTCAAGGCAACCCTGCTCCTCAACCCAAGGTATCTACCTGGGTTCACCTTTAACAAGCCCCGACTTCAGCTCAGAGTCCAGACCGTTCCCGGCAGCCACTGTCACACATACACCTCCTTCAAGTGGCCCTCCACGGTGGGGAGGCTTGCAAAACTCTCCCTCAAAAGCCTCTCCAGAAACAAGCTAGGGACAGCTGGCCGCCTGGGGCGGGCCTGCTTGGCAGGAGCAGGGCTGATGCTGCCCTTGAAAGCTGGGAACCTGGGGTCAGGCAGGGGACCCACCCGGGACCCAGGCCTGTGGGAAAGCAGCGGGGCAGCACAGGCCTGGTCTTGACTCTGGACCAAACTCAAAAGATGCTAAGGAAGAACTGAAAACGTCCACTGTGCACTGTGCACAAGGCATCTGGACGCTCAGGCTCCCGGATGTGCTTGCTAGTCCAAAGGAAACCATGCTACTGCTTGTTTTTTAAGGAAGGTTCATACAGATTTGTCTACACGTATACAAAATGGACAAAGTACACGAGTCGTAGATACAAGGCAAATGCAAACTGCAAGGCAAGGCTAGGTCTGTCTACTCCTGGGAAGCAGAGAAATCTCTAGGAAAGACTAAGAAAGTGCCTTCCCATCAGACAAGCCGGCCATGGGCAGTGCTGCTGGAGAGCTGGGTGTCCCTCTCTCTCTCTCTCTGGGACTGCATGCCTGGGTGAGCCTCAGCACTGGGGTAAGTAAGGATCTCTTCCCTCACTTCGGGGAAAGAAAACTTGCTGCACCAATACGCTGATTAGAGAGAGCCCTGCCGCTGACAGGCACTCACGCACAGGAGAACACAGCAGAGGTAGAGCCCCACTGGCCATTCTGCTCACTTCCTTCCTAACACACAAGGACTGGCAGGGCAACCGGCTGGAGTCCCGAACGGGGAATCACATCTGTTGAAAAGATACCCGTTACTGTGCTCCAGTTTCTCCACTCCAGCCAGTTCCTGGCACTGTCCTGCTCCCAGACCTTAGGTGAAGCCTTTTCAGTGACACGGGCTCTCCTCCACCATCTGACACACTGACCCTTTCAACAGGAGGGCAATTATGAAGCATCATCACATGAACGCTTTGCACAGGGATTACCGACGTCATTAGAAGACATCTGAGCCCATATGGAAGTCATGTGGAGGTAGGCCCTTAAGCTCCGTGCCTCAGTTTCCTCATCCATAAAGAAGATGAAGAAACACGTTCTTTTTAACCATTTAAACACTGAACACCTCTGGGGGAAAGCACTCTGGTACTGCTGAGCCTCACACACCCTTTGAGGACAGAAAAGGGCCTCTCCCGAATGCCTACACCCTAAATGGACGTTCTTACTCGTTTGGGGCCATCTGAAATCTCTCAACACACGTCCCACACAAAGCCGGTGGGTTTGAAGGATCGCGGAACCCAGCCTAAGATGTCTGGCTCTACGCAGGGTTCCGCAGGCATCAGGAGTTGAGCTGGTCACGACCTCAATTAAATTCTGCAGGCCCAACTCTAACGAGTGGACTGAAGTCCGCACAGGGGATGGGAGATGCTTCTTCCCCGGTGGGGGATGCGGAGGGGGGTACACGGAGCCGACACGGAGCACCCGCGCACTCGCACCGCGAGCGGCGAACAAAGCCCCAACACCTCGCCGCCCCGGGGGCTTCCCGACCTCAGGGGGAAGGCTCTCCGGAGCATGCGCCCTCGCACCCCGCCCCGGCGCCGGCCACCCCCGCCTCCCCGGCGGCGCGAGACGGCGCAGGGCCGCACGGGGCATGCGCGGCGGCCACCAGGCCCCGCCCCCCCGGAGCGCCGGAGCCGAGGCGGCGGGAACCTCAAAGCCCCGGCGCAAACCGCCGCTCCCCGCAGCGCCCCGGCGGCCCCCTCCCCCGGCGGCGCCCCGGCGGCGCAACGGCCGTGGGGAGGGAGAAAGGGCCCGGGGGCAGCGGGGGCACCGGGCGCCGCGGCCCGCACCCGGCGCGCGCGTCCCCTCCTCCGGCCCGAAACAACTTGCAAAAGTCTCCCTTCCCGGGGCGGGAGGGGGAGGGGAGGCGGAGGGAGTCGGCTCGCGCGGCGCCGGGGGCGGGGCCATGACCCCCTCGCGCGGGCGGGCGGGCGAGGGCTCCCGCCGCCCCTCCCCCGGCGGGGGGCCCGGGGCGCGCGCCCCAACGGCCAACGGCCGCGCGAGCGACGGCGACGGGGTCGGGTAGGCCGCGGCCCGCCCCCGCCCCCGGCCCGCGCCCTTTTGTTGTGCGGCGGCGGCGGCAGCGATGATTCAGCCCGCGGCCTGCGCCGGCCCTGCCGCCCCCGGCCAGGACGCGCAGTGACGCGCCGCGGCCCCAGCACCCCCCCACCGACCCCCAGGCCCCGCACTCACGACGCGCTCCTTGGTGTGCTCGGGCTCGGTGATGATCACGGCTGCGCCGCCCGCCTTGGTCGCCGCCGGCCGCGCCGCGCGCTTGCCCCCACCGGGGGCCCCGTCGAGCTCCAGGCCATCCTCATCGCCGCTGCTGCCGCCGCCGCTGCTGCTACTGCAGCGCTCGGGCCGCTCGCGCTTCCTGCCCGCCGGGCCGCCGCGCTTCCTGGGCCCGGCGCGGGCCGTGCCGTTGCCCGAGCTCGGCTCCTCCCAGGCCGCCGCCGCCGCCTTCTTCCTGGGCATGGTCGCGCTGGAGGAGACACGGGGCAGCGGCGCACAATGGACGGGTTATAAACTGCGCGGGGGGAGGGGAGCGCAGCCGAGCCACCGGCCTCCACTTCCTCCCCTGCCCTCCCCAAAGTGGCGGCCGCGGGGTGGGCGGAGAGGGGGCGAGCCGGGAGGAAATCGCGCCCCTCCCGGGCCTCGGCGCGCCTCCTCCGGGGAATCCCGCACGGGAGCCCAGGTCTCTGACTGAAATCCGCTTAGGGAAATAAAAAAAAAATGGAGACCCCCCCCCCCCGGCCCATCCTCAAGTTAGGTTTGCCTACATCGCATCACTATTGCAGCCTGATCCCCAAAAAAGTAAAAGGAAAGCAAAAGGAGCCTCTGATCCCCTAGCTTCTAATTAGAGAAGGCTCCGGGACACTTAAAAGATCGCCCTCTAAAAGGGCTCCCCCTCCCCCGCCGCCCCACCTGCTGCTTTTGTCTCCGCGCCCCCCTCCCCGAGCCCCCTCAATTAAATGCAATTCTCTCTGCCGCCCCCCTCCCCTCCCCGAGCCCCGAATTCCGCGCCAGCCTGGGGGTTCCGACCTCTGGCTCTAATCAGCCTAGTCCCTCGGGGTGGGCTGCCCCCGTCGAAAGGGGGGCGAATGAAGCCGGCCCTCAGCCCCAAACACCTGCTCGCACAGTCACGAAAAATAAAAACTTTAATGGTGCCCAACTCTCCCTGCCCCTCCCCGAACGTGTGGCCCAGCCGGTCCCTCGGATCCCGGCAGCGAAGTGCCCCGCTCCGCCGCTACTTTCCCCTAGCGTCCCTGCGCTTTTCGCCCTCTTTTTTTTTTTTTTTTTTTTTATTGATTTTGAACAATGGGATCTCTGTCTGTCTCCGATTAAACCACGTGGATCCGCCTTCCTTCCCCTTTTTATTCATTCAATCCCCCAACCCCCCTTCCTTAGGGTTGTTGTTTTGGGGTTTTGTTTTGTTTTGTTTTTTTTACCTTTTCTCCTTTAAAAAAAAGGGGGGGGTTAAAAAAAAAAAAAAAAAAACTTTCCCAGATCCCGCAAACTGAACATTGTCGATTTTGATTTTCAGTCCCTACCTGGTTGGAGTGATGAGAAACCGGAGAGAAAACGGAAGAGGAGCAGCTAAGAGATGAACCGGAGGGCTTTTTCCCCCCTCCACCCCCGGCCCAGACCAGGGCTCCAGCCCACTCACCAGATACACTTAAAATGTAAATACGAGCTTCCAGAACAAATGCTACAACACAAAACAGAAACACATGTGCTGCCGGGCGGCAAGCGAGCGCGCGACGGAGCGGGCGGCTGGGGGCCCGGGGAGCGCGCGCCCCCTGCCGGCCGGCGGACCCCGCGGCGGCCCGGCCCCGCCCCCGCCCGCGCCGGAGCCCGCGGGACCGCCGACCCACCAGAGCTTGCGCCGGGCGCCACGCGGCCAAACTCCGCGCGCCCGGGTTCTGCACGGTCTCCCCGCTGCGCCATGCGCCCCGGGCACTCTGCGCAGCGCGTCCCGCGCCAGGGATTTCTTTGGGGTTTGGGAGAATGTTGGATTGTTTTTCCCCCGGGCACGTCTAGACAGGTCACCTGAGGACACTCGCCGGAAAATAGTTAACTTTGCTCACGCATCCGCCAGCAAGGGACGTGCCCTAATTGAGTGATTGGAATGAAAGATGAATACAGTTTGAATAAAAATTTCTCTTGTGCCGAGGGAGACTGCATTTTTATTTGCCTCTGTGTCCCCAGAATGTAGCAAGGTACTGTTACATGGTAGAGTTACATAAAGATTTGCTCGGTTAGTGAACTGCGTACTGAGGATATGCAGGCCTAGGATGCACTAGAAGCTAGTTTTGATGGAAACTTTTCATAAATATTTACTGAGCACCCAGTACCGCGAGCGCGGTAGAGGATGATCCAAGCTAGAGGATCCAAAGCTAGAGGATGAGATTCCTGTCCTAGTGAAACACACTAACAGGAGACATAGATCATTAAGCAAGTTAGTAATCACAAGCGCCATAAGTGATGGGTTTCAGGACTTGCTACCCCAAAACATGGCACCTTGGTGTACTGAATATTATAAACTGAAGGAGTTTCCAGAAAACCTACAGAAATGGGTTTAAGGTCACCCATCACCACCACCACCACCACCCCACCCCGCCATCTCCTAACCAACCCCAACACCACCTACCTACACCCCTTCCCTCCCAACCCTTCTTCCCTAAAACAGGTCATAAAACCCTCAGGTGAGAGGTGCCTGCCTAATCTCAGGATAAGGATCATTCTTTTCTCAGAAGACAAAGGAACACCAAGAAGAATCCTAATAAAAGAACTTTGCTACCTGCCCCCAGTGTCCCACACCGACCTCTGACTCTTTCACCTACGTTAGTACTCAAGCACCCTCCACTCTCCAACAAACATAACCAAAAAAGACACAGGAATGTTCCTTTTGGTCTTCATTCCCTTATGAGGGCTCCCATGTCACATAAAACTTACATTAAAATAAACTCATATGTTTTTCTCCTGTTACTCTTTGTCGGCATGATTTTCAGACTCAGCCAGGAATCCTAAAGAGGATTGCAGAGGAAAGCTTTCTCCTGTCCTGCGAGAACTTTGCCAAGTAATACCTGTGTGGGACCTTTACGGCAATGGCACTCATCCTGTTCTGGGTTCAGGGAAGGCCTCCTTTGGAAAGTTAAACTCAGTGAATTTCAGGATGAATAAGACCCACCCGGTGAAGAGTGATAAGACTAGGGGCGCCTAGGTGGCTCAGTGGATTAAAGCCTCTGCCTTCGGCTCAGGTCATGATCCCAGGGTCCTGGGATTGAGTCCTGGGATCAAGTCAAGTTGGGCTCTCTGCTCAGCAGGGAGCCTGCTTCCCTTCCTCTCTCTCTGCCTGCCTCTCTGCCTACTTGTGATCTCTGTCAAGTAAATAAATAAAATCTTAAAAAAAAAAAAAAAAAGGAGTGATAAGACTATTCCAGGGTACGTAGAGGGACAGTACATACAAAAGTCCCAGGTCCTTGAGAGACATACCATGTTGAGGATAAGTGTTCCATGGGGCTGAGGGAGAAGTACAATGCACCCTGAACTGGGGAATCAGGCAAGAGCGAAATCACGTAGTGCCTAGTGAACCACATTAAAGATGGATTTTTCTTAGAAAATCTGTTTGCTCATCCTGGGAGGTAGATGAATTACTGGTCTCCTACCAAAGATTTTTACCTGCTTCCTTTTGTCTTAGACTGCCAGAGGGCGTTCCTTCTTTGGACAACTTTCTGAAGTTGGGTAGGGTTCTAGGCTTTTTGCAATTAATTCATTCCTTAATCATTATGGCAAGAAGCGGATATTCAGGAGGCAACAAAATGTCTAAACAAAGACAGAGACACCAGGGGTCCCAGCTCAAAAGTATTTGATCAGTCCCAAGTCTGTGTCCCGGGAGCCAAGAGCGCTTATGTAAGAGAACTTTAGAAATGAGAAATCAACTGGATCTTTCCAGAGATTTTCAGATAGGTCAAAACAGAGAATAGAAAAACCCTTTGAAAGCCTCTTCTTAATAGACCTGCATTTAAAAAGGTTTAGGAGATTAAACCTTGATGCTTTCATATTAAAACCCAAGGCGAACCAACCAGAAAAGAATTTTGCTTAAATATGCCATCAAGTCCCCTTCAGGAAGCAGCATGCTGATGCCTGCCAGGCCTCCGTGTTTGGTTGGGTGTTGATCCTCCGAACACCCTGTGTGGCCAATTAGGAGAAGTACTGATAGTACTTTTAGATTTCAGCCCGTGAGCTTTTTCCTTTTTTTTTTTTTCCTCCTTCCCCATTATAAGGCTTTTTGCCAGCGCAGAAAACACATGCGTCAGGAACACTGATGCAATGAGACGCTAATATCAGATTGCATCATGTGATCCTAGGTGTGGTGCTCCTGAAACTGGTTTTTCTTGGGGTGGTGCTGCGGGAGAAAAGCACTTTGGGGATAACACCCGAGAACTGGCCCTACTCGTCAGATGATATTTTTTGCATGTACATGCCTGGGGTCCCCACCACTGTGCTCCTAGGGAAAGGCGGTGTGGCTCTCCTGGCTGAAAGGGGGTGTGCGGGAGACACTCATCAGATAGGCGCGTCCACAGCTGCTTATGTAATCCACGTTACCTAGGGAGGCGCACCCACCAGGCAGGCTGGAAATGACACTTCCTCCTCTGAAACGCGTTCTGAATTGTATCTCACTTTCATCCAGCAGCCTCAGAGCAGCCGAACGTCTCCGGGACAGACCGTTTCACTGCAAAACTGGAAGAGGAGAAAACGAAGGTGGCTGGGATTTCTGGGGCACTTCCTAGGGGCTGGCCCCGTGTTACAAGCACTTCGCAGGAGGAACTGTGGAAATGTGGGTTCCCAACTGCCAGCCTGCCATCACCCAGCCCCATCCCCCTACTCTGGTGTTTGGTGAAGTCACATTTCCGGTGAGATTAGGCGGCATTGAGGGTCCCTCCCAGAAGTGGAATGCCATTCACCTTGGCCACAGAAAGCAGCAACTCCGCGGTCTATTTAAAAAAAAAAAAGGTTACGGATCATGAGAAGGATGCCAATGACCAAAATTAGTCCCGATGGTCTGTGTTTGTGAGTCGGGTTAGGTTAGGGTGCTCTAACTTGGATCTCCAACCTTCACCGCCCAGCATGGTGGCTGTGGGCTATCCTGAACGCTGGAAATGTGGCTTTGTGCAAATTACGGTGTGCTGATGTGCTGAAGGCATACCCACACCGAGTTTCAACATCTTAGTACCATAAAAAAGAATCTGAAATATATCGTTAATAATTTTATCATCCTGGGGCGCCTGGGTGGCTCAGTGGGTTAAAGCCTCTGCCTTCAGCTCAGGTCATGATCCCAGGGTCCTGGGATCCAGCCCCACATGGAGCTCTCTGCCCAGCAGGGAGCCTGCTTCCATTCCTCTCTCTCTGCCTGCCTCTCTGCCTACTTGTGATCTCTGCCTGCAAATAAATAAATAAAATCTTTTAAATAAATAAATAAATAATTTTTTCGTCCTGATCACATGTTGAAATGATCATATTTTTGGCATTAGGTCAACGGAGTACTAAAATTAACGTCACCTACTTCTTTCTACTCTTTCCAGTGTGGCTACCACAACATTTTAAATGACTTAAAACTTAAAGTTTTGTGATTCCCGTTTTATTTCCATTGGATGGCACTGCCTTCGGCCAGCATACATGGAAAACGGGCAATTTGCTCTGGACCCGACACTTTCTGCCTCTGTTCTCGAGTGTTCCCACCTGTTAAATGGCAAGATAGAGTTTGTACTAAATTTCTTTTGGGGTTCCTTCTGGAAGAATATTCCCTGATTCTGAGAACAGTAATTGGTGGGAGGAGGGATGCTTGCCATAGTGTCTGGAAAGCTGTTTCCCGAAAGAGGAAATTCTTCTAACTCTATTTCTGCCCAGGAGCCATAAAGTTTTAGAATCCTAAGGATCTTTAAATATCATCGTTGGACTTTCAAGTCACCCAGGCTGCCAGCCCTGCCAGGCTTATGCCTTATTCACCTTTGTTTTTCCCCCAAGTACCAGGGGTAGCCTGACAGGACTACGCTCTCAATTTGTGTTTGTTGATCTGTGTAATACCCAGGTGAAGAATTGAAGCCCAGAGAGGCTCTGAGACCACCTAAGGCCACACAG